ATCGTCATTAATTTAAATTTTTATATTTTATTGAAGGGGGGAATAATTGTAGCGCATCACGCACTCTTATTATTTTTATATAGAAACATCATGTTATATCACCATGGGTTGTTATATCAACATAATGTATTTTCCCATGGCGATTTTGTTATAGTTATAAAATAATAAATAAACGGATAGACACACATAAAACAGTCTATCAAATACTCCATTTTAATTTTTAATATTTTATTTATACGATTAATTAATATAGAGTTACAAATAAATATACTCTATACACAGCAAGGAGCAGAACAGGGTACGGTTGATCAGGATTCAACGAAGGGGTGGGTTCAAGCAGCGGAGTCCAGATCTGACATAGTAGTATAATCGTAAGGGCTGCAAGGCACGTTCAAAACGTAGCTGTAACAGCGAAGGGGTTGGGGCAACGTGGTTGGAGGTGAGGTTAACTCTTCCTCTTGCTAGTGCAGAGTGGTTGGGGTAACGTGGTTGGAAGTGAGATCCGGGTTAAAGGATGTAGTAATCTTTCCTCTTGTTAGTGCAATTCTTGCAGTTCTTTAGTCGGGGTCACTAATAAACAGTAGTAATTAAATAATTTACTCTTTTTTAAAATTAAAATGCAAAGACGGACGTGTTGTCTGATGAAAGTTTGCAATGGAATGATTTTACATCAAAATATCAATAATAAAGTAACATAGCAATTTAGGTAATTTGATAAAAGATATAATATCTATGTGAAGGTAGGCTGTGTACGCTACAAACTCCATGGTGTCTCCTCCTTTGTGGCAATGCTCCGCGACTGCAGATTGTTGGATTTTATTTAGTCGGACTTCCCTCTTGTGTTCCTTGATATGGCATTCGATGTTTCGTCCAGTTTGGCCTACGTAATACCGCAGTATATATAACAGACAGTACTCTCACTCAATGGCGGCACGTTTGATGTGGCGAATTGATTTTCAATGACCTCGAAGCCATTATGCTGACATAAAAGAACAGGTCCGCATTAAAAATATTTAAAACGTCGAAAATATTAAATTAAAAAGTTATTCGCAATTAACTTTCTGAACTGATAAAAACATTAGTTATTGAGTTATATACCATATAACTAATAACGTCATTATTTGTAATTTTTGATATTTTATTTTAATCTTTACACTTGTCGTTACGGCTCTGCACAAAAACAAGCCTCACAGACACACTGGCGATTAGCAAGATTTAAACCAGCGTAATGGCCGGTCGCCTGCGTAATGAGGGCTGCGCATATCTTCCGGCCAAACCGAGTGAAAGTACTATCTGTTATACATAGAGAAGTGTTGAAAATTATGAATTGCAGTCCGTTTATTATTGGAGCAGAAAACCAAATGATGCGCAAAAAAAATACGACAACTACGTGATTGGAAGTTTTGGCCATTGTGGAGGCTTCGAAGAAATTAAGTGTTTACCTAG